TGTAGTGTTTAAGTGTCTCACAGCAGCGCCCAGGCTGACAGCTCCATCCCTACTGTGGTGTTTAAGAAGCCCTTCGCTGTGTGGTGGTTGTAGACTGGAAGCTCTGAGGTGAGCATCCTTACCACACACACAGCAGTGACTGAGCTGGCTCCCTTCCTCCTAGCCCATTCATGCCAGTGCTTCCAGTGGTTACGGGAGCCTGGGCAGCAGCGGTTCACAGGAGCAGCACGTCAGCATCCCCTCTTCCAGTGAGTCAAGTGGACACTGTGTGGAGGAAGCACAGAAGGAGCAGGTGTGTGGAAGATGTATTTTGTGCAGATGTGATGTGTCAGTGGAGCTCCTGTACCCATGACTTCTTAGGACTTGTCATTTGACAAATTTAAATTTATTTTAGAAAATGATTTGAATGGAAATAAATGTCTGAAAAAAATAAAAAAAAAAAAACCTGAGATAGGCTTAGTGGCAAATGCTTATTCCAGCAGAGCGAAAGCAAGAGCTCTGAGCCAGCTGGGCTTCATGAGCAGAGCCCTGTCTTTAGAGGAAAAAATTCACCTTTGCCAGGTGACATTTGGATTACTGTATGCTTTCCTAACAACAGTGTATTATGAGTAGATGGATGTACAGTTTGATTGGCATCATTGTACAGTGGTTCTGCAAGAAACAGAATTGAAGTGAAGGCTGCTTTTAGTCTTATCTCAGAGAACCAGAGGTTAAGCATGTGTTGTTTGTGTATCTTTTAGTGCACACTTCTACATTTTTAAAACCTGTTTTATCATTCTTCTCTCTCAGATGACCTTGCAGCAGGTCTATGCCAGTGTAAACAAAATTAAGAATGTGGGTCAACAGCTGTACATTGAGTCAATGACCAGATCAGTCAAGCCAGTGATGGACACGTGCGTGGAGCTGCAGGGTGGTGGTAAGTCAGCAGAGTGACCCTCAGCTGCTCCTGAATCTGTCTCTTCATAGACAGCTGCATGTATGCACTCTGAGCAAAACCCCTGCGCTCTGTGCTGCTCTCTAGCTTGCAGAATTTCCTAGAAAATGTAATAGTATTGACAGCAGTGATATACTGGCTACACAATACCACTTGAAAGCTAAACAGTTTTACAGTATAGCTCAGTATGCTTTAATAAAGATTTAATTATTTTGATACCATCTGTCTCATTAGGTTTCCTATTGTTGTGAAGAGACACCATGACCTCAGCAACTCATATAAAGAAAACATTTCCTTGGGGTGGCTTGCTTATACTTTCAGAGGTTCAGTTATTATCATCATGATGGGGAGCTTGGTGGTGTGCAGGCAGCTAACAGTGCTACTTATAGACAATAGGAAGTCAACTGAAAGTCACACTGAGGGAAGCTTGAGCAAAAGAGACCTCAAAGCCTGCCCCCACAGTGACACATGTCCTCCAACGAGGCCATTTCTAATAGTGCCACTCCCTTTTGGGGGGCCATTTTCTTTCAAACCACCACTTAACACTCCCTGCCCCCAAAGACTTGGAGCCATATCATAATGCAAAAAAAAAAATGCATTTAGTTCAACTTTAAAAGTTCCCACAACCAATAATAGCCTCAAACTTATTTCAAAGTCTCTTCTGAGAAGCATGACAATCTCTTAACTATAATCCCCATAAAATTCAAAATCAAAAAGATCACATATACTGGCACATAATATACATTAGCTTTCTAGAACATGGGGAAGGGAGCATAGCAAGGAGAGACCAAACTCCGCAGCTCTCTGTCTGATGTCAGAATGCTTTTTATATCTTCAACTCTGTTCAGCTTTGTTGACTACAACACACTTCTTTCTCTTGGGCTGGTTCCACTCCCTGGTAGCAAGTCTATCTGAAGGTTTCTCTCCCACCTGCCAGTTCCTGAATAACCAACCACTCTGAGGCTTAATTTTAATTACAAATTGTTTGACCAATGGCTCAGGCTTCTTACTGGCCAGCTCTACAAAGACAGAAACGATGTGAAATACCCCTCTGTATGCTGTGAATATGTTTTATTACCATTGGTTAATAGAGAAGCTACTTTGGCGTAAGGCAGGATAGAATATAACTAAGTGGGAAATCCAAACATATATACAGGAGAAGAAGGGCAGAATTGGGAGGAATGTGAGCCAGCTGCCCAAGGAGAAAGATACCAGAACAGAGGTAATACCACAGCCACATGGTGATACATGGATTAGTAGAAATGAGTTAATTTATAGGAAAGAGCTAGCCAGTAATAAGCCTGAGCTGTCGGCCAAGCAGTTATACTTAATATTAGCCTCTGAGCGATTATTTCATAAACAGCTGCTGGGACTGATGGGAGGGAGAGAAACTGATCCAGCGGTTTTATAATTTTTTAAAAAAATGCTGCAAGATCCCTGGCAGCAGTAGGCAGCAGAAATGCAGGTCCCAAATGGTAGTAGCAGGCCATGTGGTGGCAGGCAGCGGGCCCTGGGAGCAGCCAGTTCCAGTTTTTTTTCCCTGACCTAAGAGCAGCAGTAGCAAACGCACGAATACGTTCACAGTGTGACATAGTTAGTCACCCCTTGACCTCGGTGCCATTCTTTTTTCCATAGCACCGTTTTGTAGGGCTTCCTCTCAGCCTATTTTTCCATCTTCTTTACTGGCTCGCTCTTCTGGCTTCAGGAGGTTCAGGTTCAAGCCTAGAGGTGTTCCCCTTCTCTCCACACCTGTGCCATTAGCCACACTTGATAATTTCAGTTCAAATTCAAACCAATATAGTATTCTATTACTATTACTTGCTTGTAGTGGCCTATTTCAAGTGCTTCCTGTGGTATTGGCTACCATGTAGAACAGCACAAAAACAGGCGCAGTGCTGTGTCCTTTACCTTGTAACTCAGGAAGTATGTGTGATATCCAGTTATTCCGCTCTCCGTGTCCACAGACCCACTCCACAGGTGTTCAGTGGACAGGTGCTGTGCAAGGCAGGGTGACACACAGCATTAGCTGTCTTAGCCAGTTGTAAAAAGTAGTATTGGCTTGGCATTGGGCTTTCCCCACCAGCCTTTCATCTGATAGTCGCTTTGGTAGTCCTTGCCTGACATACATACTCCATTCTGTTTTAAAAATACTGGTGCAGTCATTCTGTGTAGCTTACTTTTGTGCCTTATTCACTTGACTGATATTTCCGTGTCAGTACATTTAGATCCGAGCTCATGGTTAATGACTGCATAATGTTTTATGCATGTATGAGCTTACTATTTTCTTAATACATGCTAAATATTTTAATTGCATATGCTTTCGTTTTCTGTAGGTGAGCAGAAGGACTTTTCTTCCTCTCAGACACTGAGAGATAAAAGCATGGGTACTGGCTCTTGTGATGACCCGAGGCAAGAACAGCACAGCTCATCCTACCAGCAGATGAACTGTATCGACAGTGTCATCAGGTGAGAAATGCCTGCGCGCCTAGCTCTTCACTGGAACCGCATCGCACACAGAGGTGTGTGTGTCGACTCAATACTACAAGTGATAGGATCAGTAGATGCATGAGGAGCTCTTAGAGCTGCTGGGGACAGTGGTCCTGAGTCCTCTGTTAGCCATGGAGTGGGTGCCTGTTACATACAGTTCACAATTTATTGACCTTTGTGGAGGGCGCAGAAAATAAGAAGCTGCGTCTCTCTGTGACAGAGCGGTGGTATAGTGAATGCGTAAGTTGCTCAGGATTAAATGGTGTGAGATGTGAAGACCAATTAAAGAAAGTAGTGAAAGAGATAGTGTAAGTCACTGACACAGGCTGGGGTGATCAGGGCTGACTTCACCCAGAAGGAAGGACAAAGTCTTCCAGGCCTCAGTCATGGAAGCAAAGCACAGAAGTGGGGAAAGCTTGCTGGAGCCAATACAGAAACAGTCCAATCCTGTTGTTGTAGGTACCTGACCAGCTACAGTCTCCCAGCCTTGAAAAGAAAGTGCATATCCTGCACAGACACGTCTTCCTCCTCAGAAGAAGCCAAGCAAAACCACAATGCGGACTGCAGCACAGTGCTGCGAGGTACAGGAGTGTCCTCACCGTAGATGACTTCATTGTTTTCTGTCCGTCTGTCTGTCTTTATTTTATATCCCTGCCAAGGTTTCCCCTACCTCCTAACCTCCCAGTTCCTCCCCCCATATCTCCTCTTTCCCCACCCCACAATCGACTCCTCCTTCATTTCTTTCAGAAAAGGGCAGACCTCTCATGGTATCAACCAAGCATGGCTTACGCAGTTGTAGTGAAACGAAGCACCTCCCCATGTACTAGGCTGAGCAGAATGACCTAGTATGAGGAGTAGGGTCCCAAAATCCTGTAAAAGTTGGAGACAGCCCCTGCCACCACTGTTAGGAGTTCCACAGGAGGACTGTAACAGACAGAGCACCTAGGTCAGCCCCATGCTGGCTCCCTGATTGTCAGTTCATTCTCACTAAGACCCTGGCCAGGTTAGTTGATTCTGTGAATTTTCTTGTGATATCCTTGACCCCTTTGGCTCCTACAATTCTTCTTCCCTCTTTTTTGTAGGATCTCCTGAGCTCCACCTAATGTTTGACTGTGGGTATACATCCTGATTCCATCAGTTGCTGGGTGAAGCCTCTCTGATGACCATTAGGCTAGTCATTTATCTACAAGTATAAGAGAATATTACTAGGCATCATTATGTTGGCTTTTTTCTCTCCAGTAGTATATGGTTCTAGTCTCAGTCTCTGGGTCCTTGTGTTCCAGACAGTGTCAGGGTGGACTTACTCTCCTGGCATGGGTTTTAGGCTAGACCAGTCATCGGCCACTTCTTTAATCTCTAGGCCCCCTTGTCCCAGCATATCCCATAGGCGGAACAGACTGTAGGTCAAAGGTTATGATCTGACTATACAAGTCCAATTTTTCTTTGGGCCACCAGCTCACAAAAAAAAAAAACACATTTATTACTAATTATAAAAGCTCAGCCTATAGCTTAGGCTTGTTTGTAACTAACTCTTATAACTTAAATTAACCCATATTTTTTAATCCACTTTCTTCCACACATTCATTACCTCATCTCCATTTTGCCCATCCTGTTTCCTCTGTATCTGACTACCCCGCCTTTCTTCTTCTCCCTAGACCTCTCTGTCCAGAAGTCTCACCTATACCTCCTGCCTACCTCTTGACTGTTTAGCTTTTTATTAAACCAATCACAGTGACACATTTTCTCACAGTGTAGAAGAATATTCCACAATGTATGTACTGTCCCGATCCTCCTCTTGAAGTCTTGCCTGGTCACAGGAAATGACCAGTTCACACAAGGTATCCCTTATAGTTTGGAATCTTAGCGGGGTTCATCCTTGTAGATTCATGGGAGATTCCCTTGCACCACGTTTTTTCTTCCCTGACCCCAAAGCCCTCCCTTTCCAGTAGTGCCTTTCAGTACTGTCTCCTCCACCATCCCCTCCTCAAATCCGATCCTTCATGTTCCCATCCCCACCTGCCCAGAGTCCACTCACAAAATCTTTTCTGTTTCTGCTTCCCAGGGAGATCTGGAACCCTGTTACCTAGTCCCTCTGGTCCGGGTTGTAGCACTGTTGTCCTTTACTGTGTATCTAGTGTATACTTAGGAGTGAGTGCACGCCATGTTTGTCTTTCTGGGTCTGGGTTACCTCACTCAGGATGATTTTTTTTTCCTAGTTTTATCCATTTGCCTGCAAATTTCATGATGTTACTGTTTTTAACAGCTTATGATACTCCATTGTGTAAATGTACCACATTTTCTTTATCCATTTCTTGGTTGAGGGACATCTAGGTTGTTTCCAGGTTCTGGCTATTATGAATAATGCTGCTATGAACACAGCTGAGCAAGTACCCTTCTGGTATGCTTGAGCATCCTTTGGGTATATGCCCAAGAATAGTATAGCTGGGTCTTTTCTTTCTCTTTTTGAAAGACGTATTTATTTGCAGGGTGGTAGTGACACATATCTTTAATCCCAGCACTTGGGAGGCAAAGACAGGAGGATCTCTGTGAGTTTAAGGCCAGCCTGGTCTACAGAGCAAGTTCTAGGACAGGCTCCAAAGCTATAGAGAAACACTGTCTTGAAAAACAAAAAGCAAAAAAAAAAAAAAGGAAAGGATGTATTTATTTGCTTATTTTATGTGTATGAGTTTTGTTTACATATATCTGCATACCAGAAGATGGTATCAGATTCCATTATAGACAGTTGTGAGCTGCAGTGTGGATGCTGGGAATTGAGCTCAGGACTCCTGGAAGAGCAGGTAGTACTCTTAATCACTGAGGCATCTCTTCAGCCGCATGAGCCGTCTCTTGTGGTAGACTGATTCTCAGTTTTCTGAGAAGCTGCCTTATTAACTTCCAAAGTGGCTATACAAGTTTGCACTCGCGCCAGCAATGGGAGAGTGTTCCCCCTGCTCCACATCCTTGCCAGCAGGAGCGGTCACTTTTGTTTTTGATCTTAGCCATTCTGACAAATGTACAATGGAATCTTAGAGTCATTTTGATTCCCTGATTGCTAAGGATGTTGAACACTTATTTAAGTAATTCTCAGTCATTTGAAAATCTTCTGTCAAGAATTCTCTGTTTAGGGCTGGAGAGATGGCTCAGAGGTTAAGAGCATTGCCTGTTCTTCCAAAGGTCCTGAGTTCAATTCCCAGCAACCACCTGGTGGCTCACAACCATCTGTAATGGGGTCTGGTGCCCTCTTCTGGCCTGCAGGCATACACACAGACAGAATATTGTATCCATAATAAATAAATAAATGTTTTTTTAAAAAAAAGAATTCTCTGTTTACATCTTTACCCCGTTTTTAAAATTGGATTATTTCATTTTTTGATATCTAGTTTCTTGAATTTTTTATATATCTTGGAAATCAGCTCGCTGTCAGATATGGGGGTTGGTAAAGATCTTTTCCCATTCTGTAGGCTGCCATTTTGTCCTATCGATGGTGTACTTTGCCTTACAGAAACTTTTCAGTTGCATGAGGTCCTATTTATTAATTGTCAATCTTAATGCCTGTGCTACTATTCAGGGAGCTGTCTCTGGTGCCAGTGTGTTCAAAGCTATTTCTCACTTTCTCTTCTGTCAGGTTCAGTATATCTGGATTTATGTTAAGGTCTTTTATCTACTTAGACTTTAGTTTTGTTCAGGGTGATAGATATGAATCTATTTGCATCCTTCTACATGCCAACATCCAGTTATACCAGCACCATTGGTTAAAGGTACTTTCTTTTTTCTGTTGTATAATTTTGGCTTCTTTGTCAAAAATCGGGTGTTCATAGGCATGTGGATTTACATCTGGGTCTTCAGTTTGATTCCATTGATCCACCTGTCTGTGTTTATGCCAATACCATGTGGTTTTTATTACTATAACTCTGTAGTACAGCTTTAAATCAAGGGTGGTGATACCTCCAGAAGTTCTTTTATTGTGCAAGATTGTTTTAGCTATCCTGGGTTTATTGTTTTTCCATATGAAGTTGAGTACTGTTCTTTCAAGGTCTATAAAGAACTGTGTTGGGATTTTAATGGGGATTGCATTGAATATGTAGATTGCTTTTGGTAGGATGGCCATTTTTACTGTGTTAATCCTAGCAATCCATGAGTATGGGAGATATTTCTGTCTTCTGATATCTTCTCCAATTTCTTTCTTCAAATACTTCAAGCCTTTCACTTGCTTGGCTAGAGTTACCCCAAGATATTTTATATTATTTGTGGCTATTGTGAGGGTATTACTTCCCTGATTTCTTTCTCAGCCCGTTTATCATTTGTATATAGGAGGACTACTGATTTTTTTGAGTTAATCTTGTTTTCACCCTCTTGACTAAAGGTGTTCATTAGCTATAGGAGTTTCCTGGTGGAATTTTTGGGCTCTTTTATGTACACTATCATATCATCTATGAATAATGATACATTGACTTCTTCCTTTCCAATTTTTATCCCTTTGATCTCCTTCAGTTGTTTTATTGCTGTAGCTAAGACTTCAAGTACTATATTAAATAGGTATGGAGCAAGTGAACAACCTTGTCTTGTTTTAGTGGAATTGCTTTGAGTTTCCTCTCCATTTAATTTGATGTTGACAGTCAGCTTTTATTATGTTTAAGTATGTCCCTTATATCCATGATCTCTCCAAGACTTTTATCATGAAGGGGTGTTGGATTTTGTCAAAGGCTTTTTCAGTATCTAATGAGATGATCATGGGTTTTTTTCTCTCAGTTTTTTTATGTGGTGGATCACAGAATCTCTGTGTGGCTAATGGTTCTATTTGTTGGTTACTAACTTCTGTAAGCATCCACTTAGGATTTTTCACTGTCAGTTTCTCATGTATCACCAGAGACTGAACAGATCCTGAACAAACCTCAAAAAGAAAAGGAAATGCCAACAACTGGACCATCAACAGATGCTGAAAGAGGTGCTGCGTGGTCCCTGTCCCCTGCTACACTGTGCATGGGGTTTGGTAGAAGCCAGTGCAGCTGCAGTGGCACCACTGTCCATGTCCCGCCCCTACACTCAGGTATCACCTTTGCCTTTTGATGAGAAAAGAATCTGTTAATACCATTTGCTTAGTTACAAGTTCTGTGTCTTAACCATTCTTCCCTGACTTTTATTCAGTAATCCTAATTAAGAAATGCCACCATGTTTGTATTGGTTATTTTTGTTCTGTGTGCTGTGTGTTAATAGGGTCAGTTGAGGCATGGAGCTCCTAGAGCTGCTGGGCACCATGGGGCCGAGTCCTCTGTGGTTGCCATTGTTAATGTACTTTCCTGTGGACCGCATTGGGTTCTGTTGTGGCTAATTTTTTTCCCCAAGAGATTTTATGTGTATGGATGTTTTACCTTCATATATGTATGTGCACCGTGTGTGTGCCTGCAGCCCACAGAGGCCAGAAGAGGGTGCCATATTCCCAAGACTGTAGTTAGAGGTGGTTGTGAGCACCATGTGGGTTCTGGGAACCAGACCTGGATCCTCTCCAAGAACAGCCAATGCTTTTAACCTCTGAGCTAACTCTCTAGCCCCTTTCACTGATCTTTTAAAAAAGTGTCTTTCACATGTTGAATGTATACTGGCAACTAGATGAATAACACATGTGTTCTCACTTTTGTGTTGACTTGCTAAGTCAGTAGTGAAAGGGAGGGGTTGGCGCCCTCAGAGTCGGTACAGGATGCACCCAGACATCAAATTCTCAGCACAAAGGAGATTTATTTGACCTAGAGGGACAAAGGGCAGAGAATAAGAGACAAAGACAGGAGCTAAAGAATGAGGGAAAAGGGGACAGGGGGCCAGGGAGATGGGGAAGGTTACTTGCCCAGGAGGGACAAAGGACTGCCTCTGGATAGAGACAGACATGGCACACAGACAAATGGTGGTTTATAGAGGTAAAAAGGAAGACCCTGTCTTAGGATGAGGGGATTAATTTTGATTATGCATGTTAATTGGGTAGTCAGTCACAAGGGGACTTTTGATTACTTCAAGAGCTGTACTTTGGTAGTCAACTTCAGTAGGAGGAAGTGGCCAAATAAGGGAATAATCCCCAGTGGCTAGCTGTAGGACTGTCGTCTAACAAGGGAGAAAAGAGCAAAAGGCAAAACCTGTCAGCATCCTGTTTGCCATGCTTGGGGGTGCTAGAGCCCTTCAAGTAGAGCATATCCTTTGCAACATACTTTCTTGATAAATTATTCTAGTCTTGATCTCTTTATTCTTTTCCGTTACCTCCTGTCCTTTTGACTTTCTGGTTTTTCATAATGACTTCTCTTAAGTTGGGTTTTGGGCTGTCTCTAGCTTACCTTTGCTTACCTTCTGTGGCATATTGGCTAACGTGCATTGAGTAGTCGCTGTGGCAGTTCTCTGTGCTTTATTCTTGGAAGCTGTATTGGATACTTTTTTATCACAGTGACAGAATTCCCGACTGCCGCAACCTTAGGGAAATGGGGTGCTTTGGATTCATGATTTGAGGGCACAGCCCAGCTACCTCACAGTACTGCTGCCTTGTCACCCCACTGTGATGGACTGTACCCACAAAAACAATAAACACCTCCCCACACCCAAAAGTGCCCAAACAAACTGTGTATTTGCTGCTATCCCAAAGGCCTACCTCGGTTCCGATGGAACTTTCTCCAGCTAATCGGAACACACTCTGCTTGCACACACCCTCCATCTCAGAGGTCCATTGGGAGGAATCGTGTTAGTAATGACTGATCTCGCCAACTTGACTGCATTTGAATCTTCATGTCTCTTTGCTTTCTGGGAAGCTTAGTATCTAGGTTTAACCCTTGCCCTGGAGTGATCTCCTGTCTGATGACTGCGATCATGGGACATTCCTTGCAACCTTTGATATTTATGTGTGATAACTAAGTAACTTCCCTTGCGTCAGTTGCCTGTGAGTGGGAAGCAGGGCATCAAATTGTTCTCCAACCGTCATTGCCATTATAGTACCAGGGACTAATTAAAAGTGTGAGACAGAAGGCATATATAGGTGTGCGTAATTAAAATAATAAAGGTACTTTTTTAAATGTGCAGAAGTGGCTGGACTGAGCTACAGTGTTGGCCATCTTGGCCTGGGTAGTCTTTAGCAGATACTGAAGAGCTCACAGTCAGAGGTGTGCTGACATAAGATACGTTGTGCTGAAATGTAAGTTTCTGATGTAGGATTGCTGATATGTAAAGATGTGCTTTCTAGTTAGGGTGAATTACATTAAAAATCAGTACAACTTAAAGCCCAAGAATTTAGAAACCAAATAACATGTTTTTAAATAATCATGGGTCAAAGAAAAAGTCTGAAATGGACTTTGAAATTATTCTGAAATAAATACTCATGAGAAGACAACATACTAAAATTTACATGCAGCAGCAGAACAGACAGCTCTGAATGCTGATAAATAGAGAAGCCATCTTTTGGGGGAGATGGGGTGGAGTTTGTGACAGGGTTTCTCTGTATAGTTCTGGCTGTCCTGGAACTCAATTTCAGAGATCCTCCTGCTTCTGCCTCCTGAGTGCTGGGAATAAAGGTGTGCACCACTACACACCTTTATTCCCAGCACTGTTACTGTTAAATGAGTCACAGTATTTTGTGTTCTTGAACATTTGGGGCTTTATTTTGAGACCCAATTGATTTACTAGAAACAGACTGGCTCTTTCAGACTCACACTGAAAATTTGCCAAGCCAGCACCGGCTCTGAGCACTGCAGACCTGATCATCCCTGCTACTGAATTCTTCAGTCATAGCCACAAAAAGCCAGGACTTCCTTTTTTGCTTTTTCAAATGTGTATATATGCATGCATTTATTTTTCTGCATATATTTTATGTGTATATATGCATGCATTTATTTTTCTGCATCATTTTGGGTGTGTGGAGGTCAGAGGGCAACTTTGGGGGGGTCAGTTTTTTCCTTTTACATGGATTCCTAGGATCAAATTCAAGTCGCCAGGCTTACCTGCTGAGCCATCTTGCTGACTGAAATGAGGTTTTCTGGCCTGGCTGTGTTCTTTAAGCTTGAGCTGTCATCTCGTCTCTGAAAGTCCCTTCCCAACCCAGGACTCAAGGCAAACCTTTCTCTGGGCCCTGGGGATATCTGTCTCTCTAGAGTCCTCTCTATGCAGCTGTCTTCTCTGCTCCTCTCCTGGAAGATCTAACCTCACCTCATAGGGAGTTTATTAGACTCCATCTGAGACTCAAAGCCCTGAAACTGTTTATTTCATATATTGTGTCCATTGTGTTCATTATTTAAGGCAAGAAAGTCAGTCTAGTCCCTGCTCCAGTGCTGGCCACAGCAGTTAAGTTGACTCAGAACAAGTCAGAGCCTACTTGTGGAGGTGGCATGGGCTAGCCAGGCTACCACAATACGGCACAGCCCCAAGAGGTGGGAAGGGTACTGGGGAGCCAACCACAGCACCCACCGTGATTTCTTCTTGAAACAACTCAGAATCTGTGTACAGGTGCCTGCAGGTGCACATGTGAAGAATCCATGTACAGATACATGCAGGTGTGCATGTGAAGAATCTGTGTACAGATATATGCAGGTGTGCTTGAGAAGAATCCGTGTACAGATGCATGCAGGTGTACTTGTGAATGACAAGTGGATGCTTCACTGCATGTAGAGTATGAGATGGCTGTGTACTGTTAAATTCCCTGAGGAGTAGCAAGTGGGGTGAACTGTAGGCTAGTGTTTTTGGAGAAAACAGTCAGTGGGCAGATGGGCCTCTGTGTTCATGATTATTTCTCTATGCATAAAGAAAGTCAAAGGGCAGAGAAAAAGAATGATTTTCTGTGGGAGAATAAAAACGAGCTGAGTAGGTAGTGGAAGGGACAGGAAGAATTTACTAAATTTATTTTTAAAACTCAGTGTTTGAATTATGTGAATATGTTACCTATTTAATTAACCAGTTGAGCCAGGGATGGTGGCACACGCTTTTAATCCCAGCACTCGGGAAGCAAAGGTAGGTGGGTCTCTGTGAGTCTAAGAATAGCCTGGTCTGAATAGCAAGTTCCAGGACAGCAAGGGCTCCATAGAGAGGCTTCGTCTCAAAGAAACAAGTAGGAAAGATTCATAGGCTAACTGTGATGGCACACACTTGTAATCCCAGTGTTCAAGAGACTGACAGGAGGGTCACAAATTCAGGTCAGGTAGGTTATGTAGTAAGTTCCAAGCTCTGTTTCTAAATTAATAATTTTGACCAAAAATCCAAAAAAAATGTAAGGACATGGAAAATGTTTATATTTTTAACTATTGCAATTATTATTATTATTACCTTATTAATACTAGGAATCAAAATTTCCACTTCCTCCCCTCCTCCCTCGTCCCTCCTGCTCGCCTATTCACGTCCCCTTTCCCCCTCCAGTCCTAAGAGAGGGCAGGATACCCTGCCCTGTGGGAAGTCCAAGACCCTCTCCCCCCTTCAACCAGGCTTAGGAAGGTATGCATCCAAATAGACTAGGATCCCCAAAAGCCAGAACATGCCATAGAGACAAATCCCAGTGCCATTATCATTGACTTCTCAGTCTGCCCCAATTGTCAGCCATATTCAGAGGGTCCAGTTTGATCCCATGCTTGTTCAGTCCTATTCCAGCTGGCTTTGGTAAGCTCCCATTAGTTCAGACACACTGTCTCAGTGCGTGGATCAGCCCCTCGTGGTCCTGACTTCCTTGGTCATATTCTCCCTCCTTCTGCTCTCCAACTGGACCTTGAGAGCTCAGTCCAGTACTCCCATGTGGCTCTCTGTCTACCAAGAGCTGCCCAATCATACTACAAAAGCATTTGCTCAACTTTGTTCATAGCAGCATTATTTGTAATAGCCAGAACCTGAAAACAACTTAGATGCCCCCTCAGTGGAATAATGGATAAAGAAAGTGTGACACATCTACACACTAGAGTACTACTCAGCAGTAAAACAACAGTGACATCTTGAATTTTGCATGCAAATGGGTGGAAGTAGAAAACACTATCCTGAGTGAGATAACCCAGACCCAAAAATATGAATATGGTATGTACTCACTCATTAGTGGATTCTAGCAATAAACAAAGGACATTGAGCCTATAGTTCGTGATTCTAGAGAACCTAAGTAAGTAATAAGGGAAAATATTTATATTAGCAAGATCTAAATAAATGTCTGTGTATCATTAGAATCACACATGAAAAGTGAAAGAAAGATAAGAGGAATTTCTGTTCTGTACTGATATTTTTATATTCCAACAATTGTGTTTGTCGAAATTTGTTGGAAGTCAACTACAAAATAAAAAAATAAATAATTGCTATTAATTATTAAATCTGTTTTCTGTGATCTCAGCAGAGGGTGTTGCCTTAGCGTGTAAGCCCTGGACCCTGAGAACACAACCATCTCCCCTGACTGCGGAAGAATTTGAGCATGTGGGGCTCACAACAGCTGTCCTCTCCGCACACACGCAGAAGGAAGAACAGAGCTATGTTGACGGGTTCCGGGAAAGGATCCTGACCTCACCCTACAGCTGCTATCTGCAGAAAAAGAGCAAAAGCAATGCTAAGTACTCATGTGTTCAAGGTAGTTACATTTTAGAGCATAGCCCTTTCGTTGTTGGATTATTATAGATTATATGCAGGTTGAACTGTACTACTGTATCAGTGGGAGATTGAATGTAGCCCTTTCATTGTTAGATTATTATAGATTATATACAGATTGAACTGTACTACTGTATCAGTGGGAGATTGCTTCCAGGAAGCACTACCTGACACACACCCAAAATCACAGACATTCAAGGACTACTACATATCAAAGGCCATAATATTTTTGCATGACCTGTTCACATCTTCCATGTCCTTTAACTTATCTTTTATTTAACACTTAATATTCCATTATTATAGTATATTATTATAATTGGAGAGATAATGGGGACCTTTGTACATGATCCTTTTTTTCTGAATATTTTCCATATGTAGTTGACCAGAGCTGCAGGTTTGGCACCTGTGGTTGTTCAGAGCCAGCTGTACCAGGGAGAGCTACAGGTTGGTTCCAAAAGATACCAAGATGCTACAATCGCTTATTCCACAGTTTACCTAGGATCTTATTTGAGTCTGGACCTGAGAACAGTTTTATAAGAAACCTACTAAGGTGCTGGAATTGATTTATTTTAGTGTACTAGTTTTTACCTAGAATTTTGTTGAATTAGAACAATGTTTTGCTATTTTTAGAATAGTTACTATTGGCAAATACTTAATTCATTGGAAAGTTTAAAATCACCCGCAACTCTCTCTGTTGTTACTTTTCTGTGACATGCCTCCTCCTCCTTTTTTTTTTTGTTTTCTTTTTGAGACAAGGTTTCTCTGAGCTTTGGTGCCTGTCCTGGAACTAGCTCTTGTGGACCAGACTGGCCTCGAACTCACAGAGATCCGCCTGTCTCTGCCCCCCGAATGCTAGGATTAAAGGCTTCTTTATCACTTCATCAGGCTCTCCTAAGCAGACCAGATGTGCTGGAAGTGGGAGACGGAAGCACAAACGGAAGAAGTTGCCAGTGCCTTTGGACACCAGCAGCTCCAGTGCAGACTTCTGTTCCCATGTCAGAGGACTCCTTCCTGGTGTACAGCCCTGGAGCCCTGCTGTTGTCTCCTCTCCCCACGCCTCCAGCCTCGCTTTCCCATCAGCCCTGGTAGCTCCCAGCCAGGCCCCCTGTCTACTTTCGTCTTTTCCCCTCCAAGATGTTGCCTCTCTGGGAGTAGGGGGCTCTGCAGGCTGGGCAGCTGCAGCTGAATGCCCACCTCTGTCCGCTGGCCCACAGCCTGTTTCAGCTTTCCCCTCTGTGTACTTGGACACGCTCATGACCATCTTCCTGCACAGCCCCCCAGTCTTCCCTCTGTGGTCAGCATCATTCTCCCCATATGCATTCCTGGGGGCTGCAGGTTCTTCTGAAATGACACCCTTAGTGCCAGCAGTGGCTCCACACCTGGAACCAACTTCTTCAGACCATAGCCATGGGAGAATGGAGGAAAGCTGGGAGACACACAGTGAGGAGCATCCATTTATTAGTTCAAGGAACAGTTCGCCTTTACAGTTAAATTTACTTCAGGAAGAAATGCCTGCGCCATCTGAATCTCCAGATCCAGTGAGAAGAGCTGCTGGCCCAGAAGTTGAGTGTGTAAGTGGTGCCATCTACCGAGTGAGTGAGAAAATCTGGACCCTTTTACCAAGTCTGAGGCTCAGCACTGGCAGCCTAGTCACTAGGGGATGACCCGCCTCACAGCTGGACTAAGCCCTGCTCAGTGTAAGCGAGAAGTGTGTCCCTGTCCAGCTTGTGGAATAGACGCAAAGGACTCATCTGTTCTTGATGCTTGGGGATGATTTTCACAAATTATGTTTTTCAAATTTTTTAAAAATATTTATTTATTTATTATGTATACAATATTCTTTGTGTCTGTGTATATGCCCGCAGGCCAGAAGAGGGCACCAGACCTCATTAGGGATGGTTGTAAGGCACCATGTGGTTGCTGGGAATTGAACTCAGGACCTTTGGGAGAGCAGGCAATGCTCTTAACCACTTAGCCATCTCTCCAGCCCCTCAAATTTTTTATTGCTAGGTTTCCTCTACCTTTTAAAATTTGATATCCAGGTATTAAACTTAACATGTTCATTCCTTACAAATTAAAGCCGGAGTTTTGGTCTAGAAAGGGAAATAAGCCATATGACAGAATATGAATTTAGAATTCATACTTTTAAATTTTTTAGTCAAAATCGAACTATATCATTCTCCCATTTTCTTCTCTTCAGATTTCCCTTACTCTCCTCAAAATTATGGCCTTTTATTGTTGCTGTGGTTGTTGTTGTTAATAGGGGTGTGTGTATGTACCCCTAAATATATAAATACAAAATATATGCATTCTTAAATATTTAAATACTATATATTTACATATTCCTAAATATGTAAATTCAATATGCTCAATCTACATAGTGTTACCTTTATGTTTATGATCTCACCACTTGGTACTGGGTGACTAACTGGAAGACTCTCCCTGAGGACGACTATTTGCTCCCATTCCTGGCATTGCTAGTCCCGCATAGTTCTTTGTCTAGGATTTGGGGCCCTGTGGCTTTTTCCTCCTTCCATATAAGGAAGAAACATAACACCTTCCAATGAGGTGTTGTCCTTATTCAGGTCTTGTTTAGGCAGCCATATCATTGAGACTTTATAGATATAGCTTCGCTGACATTTTGTTTATTTTTGTTTTACAAGACAAGGTTTCTCTGTAGCTTTGGAGCCTGTCCTGGAACTAGCTCTTATAGACCAGGGTGGCCTCCAACTCACTCACAGAGATTCGCCTGCCTCTGCCTCCCAAGTGTGGGATTGAAGGCGTGCGTCACCACTGCCTGGCTTCCCTGACATTTTTTAGTAGGCACAGTCTCACAGCAGACATCATCTTCCTCTGCCTCCTCTTTGGAGATGTGGGATTCATGCTTCTCTGTATGTACACATAAAGCAGGAGTGTGTAGATGAAGTGAGCCACTATTTGGCATCTTCAGAAAGCAGGCAGCTTATTCTTCCATGCTTATGCATGTCGTTTTCAAAACTGAAAAATTTTAGGTAAATTTCTTTTAACTTTGCAAACTCTACTTTAAAAATCATTTCAAGATATATTTATCAGTTTACTCTTCAGAGTCTGTCATTCCTGCATTTAGGTGTAGACTCAAAGCTAAGTATTTTACCAGCCTGAATCTTGTATGCAGTAGGTGCATGCAGTGCCCTCAGAAGCCAGAAAAGGCAGCTAGGTCACTAGGCAGGTAGGAGTTAAAGAAGCTGTGAACTGCCTTGTGTCCTCTGTAAGAGCATCAAGGGCTCTTAACTGATGAGCCATCTCCCTCCCTACACTCACTTCTGAGAGCCCGGGTGAATAAAGCTTGGGGGGGCGAGGGAATAAGGCCGCAGCTCAGCACTAGATAAATGGTTCAGTGGCTAAGAGTGCTTGCAGTGCTGCCATGGGGGCCAGAGTAGCCCCCAGCACACATATCAGCTGTCTCCTGTAACTCCAGCTCCAAAGGTTCCACAGTCCTTGTCGGGTCTCTGCAGACACCTGCAGACACTCGGTCACCTATACATAACACATTTTTTAAGTACATTTTATTTACTTTTGGTGAGGGTGGGGGTGGGTACTGATGTACCACAGTGTGCATGTGGAGGTCAAAGGACAACTTCGGGGGATTTGGTTCTCTCTACACCAGGTGCCTTTGTGTCCTCCCTTGCAGCCCTGTGTCACAGGGAACGATGGCAGTAGGAGCAGTCATCGTGCCGCCAGTGACCTGGCCACACCATCGGTGCACCAGGAGTCTCTGTCTGCAGCAGCCTCAGGTAGCTGACCAGGACAAACGGCTTTTCACACTATTCCCAGATCACTTGTCCAAGGCCTTCTAGTTTGGACAATAATGAATAAATACAGAAAGTTTGGGGATTTCCCAGCCCTTCTCTTTGTAGGCTTTCTCGGGGGTGTGCTTACATTTGACAAAATTAGCATTGGTATGACAGTATAACTGTATAATCACCACTTAGAATATGCCTGCTGCTCTGGAAGGTTCTTCTGTAGCCATTTGTAGTCTGTGCTGGCGACTTTTCCTATTACTGTAATAGAAAGTCTGTCTGAGGCAACTTACAGGAGGAAGGATTTGTTCTCGCTCATGGTTTCAAGGGTCCAGTCTATCATGGCAGGGAAGGAATGGAGGCAAGAGCATCTTGGTCTGAGGTGAGGGGAACCAGGTACAGCAGACACGAAACAGAGCTCAGACCTGGAGTGAGGCCATGTTACAACCTTCAAAATCCTAAACACACACATACACACAGTGACCCACCTCATATACCCTGTCCCAAAGGTTCCTTCACTTTCCAGAACAGAGACACAAGCTGGAGACCAAGTGCTCAAGTGTGTGCCTGTGAAGGTGTGTTATATTCAGACGGACAGTCCACCCCTGCACTGGTCCTCTGTCCTGGCATTCTGACGGTGTGCTTACTGCCCTTCGGTTTCTGTAGTTCCACACAACCCAGATAAGACAGTGTGAAGGCTCTTTGTGTTCAGAGCCTCTCAGAATAATGCTGTTGAGATTCGTCCTTATTGTATGTATTGGTAGTCTGTTCCTTTCTGTTGCTCTAGAGGATTACCTTGTACAAATGGTTATTGGGCTGTTTCTGGCCTGGGCCTATAATGCTGTGAGCCATTTGAAATAGTTAGATCATTTGTATCTGGTTAATGTCTATAGAAACTGCCACTGCTGGGATGGGTAGGTAGTTGCTAGAGTGTGAAATCTTTGACAAATAAACTTGTGACAGCTGTGTTCCACTCTGCTGATCTTTGATAGGAAGCAGTACTAGCAGTGTACACTTCAGTAGCAGTGACTATTCTGGAATTTTTGAAAACGGACAGAGGTCCCAGAGTAGACAGAGAAATGAAGCCTTGCCCGGGGTGGCTGAAGAGTCTGTCTGGAGAATGATTGAAGAAACGCCAGAGCATGTTCTCATGACATACCAGCTGCCCGAGAGGTAGGAGAGCACCTCTGAAAATGCAGCTGTATGGTTGCATGGTTTATTTCTGTAACTCAAAAAAAATTATACCACCATTTATTTATTTTGTTCTGTGTACATGTGTGAGTGTGCCGTGGCACACATGTGGAAGCCTGGCCTCTGTCTGCCATGTATGTCCCACGGATGAGACTCAGGCGACGAGGCTTGGTGAGCAGGGAAGCACCTTCCGTGCTGTGGTGTGTGTGTAGATGTCAGAGAGCAGCAGCCGGCGTCACTCTTGGCCAGAAGGGCCCTCTTTCTCAGACACCTCACTGGCTGTTTGGGGGGTCCTAATGGGATTTTTAAATGTCTTACACACAGTCATAGAAAAATGTGTTTATAAATTTATTCATTTAAAGTCAAGCTGCAGCTGCGCATGTGCAGACCCCACAGAGCAGACAGGCTGCTCACTCGTGCTCCTGGCAGAGGAGGCGGAAGGAAATGCAGTTCTTGATATGCTTTGCTTAAACATCACACTGGGTTTCCCACCAAGAAGCAGACAGTTCGGTTATGTCACGAGTCAACAGCTACGTGCAGCGGTGGGAGGGAAGACTGTTCTCAGAGGCCTTTGCTGTGTTTAGGAGAAGAGAAGAGGTGCTGAGGGGAGACCTGGCAAAGCTCAGCAGCATGGAGCAGCATCAGCCCCAGTTCTCTCCTGCACAGAAGGAGGAACTGGCCACGGTGCGCTCCTGGATCCACAGCCAGACTGCCGCCCCTCAAGAAGGACACCTCCAGGTAAGGACATAATTGCTCATACAGCAACTGTTCTGCGCCAGGTGACAGGTGCCCTTCACCTTCACAGTCACCTTTGTATTCTAACAACAGACAGTGTGCGTGTGAAATAGTTAGTACAGTGTGTTCTAGGTTTTGAGAAGTGGTCTTCCTAACACTGTTGGTGAAGTTCCTTCTCTTCACCTCAGGAAGGACACAGCCACAGGCCAAAGTACTGTTAAAGCCAAGGCACCCGGACACCAGTGAGTTTACATACAGAGTATGGGTGACCCAAAATGGCCACATCACCAAAACCATCTCATCCCAATGTGAATGGTAACTTCTTAGCATAGCTCCACAGGTGGTCTCCTCCACCCCTGTCAGCACCCTCCTACCCCACCCCGTCAGTGCATTCTGCACTCTGCAGACTCTGGTCACCTCCCTAGAGCACAGGACACCTGAGGTGAAATTGCATAGGACTGAGAGGAAAGGCCAGGGTCTAAAGTGAGGCTCTCATGACTCTCTACCCCGTTTTTTCTATGAGGGAGTGACACAGGCCCCTTCGCTCTTTCGTGAGTAGGCACAGCTCTTTCCTTAGGTTTGTTAGACAGCATGCCACTACCATGACAACGTAGTTCTCTTCCACCAGGTAGAAAGTTAGGTGGTAAAGACATGACCAGCTGAGGGAAGCTCTCAGAGATACATGGTTCAAATACAATCCCTGTGCAACAATTTAACTTCCAAATATAAGAAAGGCCCACACTGGAGGGAATTATCTCACCCTGCAGGATCTCTGCCCCTCTAGAGCTCCACAGCCCCAAAACACGAACTCTAGTCATTTTATGCATTAATCTCTTACGTTATATAACAGACTGGCAAGCCAGGGTTGCAGCATCATTCAGCTTGAGTTACCTTCCTTCTGATTCAGTCTGTAGTCTCCCTTGTCACTTCCTTTCTTTTTTTTCAGTTGTTGTGTTTTATGTGTATGAGTGTTTTGCCTGTGCACTCACATGTGTGCTGGGGATCAAACCAAGCTCCTCTGCAGCAGCAGCCAGTGCTCTTACCCACTGAGCCGTCTCCAGCCTCCCCTTCAGCATTTCTTACACTGCAGATGTGGTGAGGTCATACCCCTCCCCAGCCTTTGCTTCTCCCTTACTTTCTAAGGAACTTTGCTAAATAAAGGAGCCTTGGTTGAAGGAATCTTAGTCGGTGAGCACTTTGGCTATGTCAACCTCCTGCTTGCTGCTCTCCAAGGTTTCTGCTGAGGCATCTGCTGCTGATCTTGCTAAGAACCCCTTGTATGTAAAGCATCCTCTCCTGCTGTGGTTCTGCTGTTTGGTTATAACATGTCTGGGTGTGTGCCTCTGAGCTGATCCCACTTGGAGGCCATTGAGCTGCTTGTATTCAGGTCTTTGCTAAGTTTGGAAGATTTTCAGCCTTTATCTTTGCCAGGACATCCCTTCCCGTCCTTTCCCTCCATCTGGTTCCTCTGGGACCACAGAAGATGTAAGTGCTGCTCACTCGGCCCCAGCCTCTTCTTCCCCACAGATTTCCATTCTCAATTCCCCCAAATCTCCCTTGGAGTTCTGCCAGCGAGGTGTTTTTGTTTTATTTTGTTTTTTGTCAGTTTTGTCTTTTTCAGATACAGAATTTCTTGTTGATTTCCTTGTAGGTGTCCTCTACTCTGTGGATGCTTTCATCTTGTTTGTATATTTCCTTTCTCTGCTTTCTATGCTGGTTAGGTTTCTGTTGTTGTGATAGACGCACCATAACCAAAAACAACTCAGGAGGAAAGGCTTTATTTCACCTCACAGATGATACAATCTACAAAGGAAGTCAGGGCAGGAACTCAAGGCAGGAGCTGATGCAGAGGCTATGGAGCAGTGCTGCTGCTGGGTTGCTCCCTATGGCTTTCTTACAGCACCCAGGACCACCTGCCCAGAGGTGGCACCACCCACAGTGACCTGAGCCCTCTCACATCAATCGTTAATCAAAAATGTGTACCACAGACTTGCCTACAGGGCAGTCTGATAGAGATATTTTCTCAGTTGAGAGTCTCTCTTCCCAGATATGTCTAGATTTGTGTCAAGTTGACAGAAGCCAACCAGTCCATCTTCTTTAGATGACATTAGCATCACATAACACATTTGCCTTTGTTCTCTTTTGGAGAGTTGTGTCGCCTGTGAAGACAGAGGTTCAATCGGTGACACTGCAGAGGCCCATGAACAGCAGCCAGCAGAAGACACCAGCTGAGCAACTGTGAGGATGTCTGTTCACACTTTCTCCAGGTCACGTGGGTCACGGAGACGTCTGTGTTACTTCACTAAACTCTTAAATGACAAAGTCATCAGCATTAAGATTTTCCCCTTGCTTTGATTTTGTTTTGTTTTGGGTAGCACTGGGGATCAAACGCAGGGCCTCCTTGTGCATGCTAGTCTGGGGCTCTCCACTGCTGACCTGTATTCCAGCCCTCCCTTCTTGGTCTTTAGTGGGTGACATTTTCCCAATCTCTGACCTAGCGGTCTTCTGAAGGCACCAAATTGCCTCTGAGGAGGTATGTGTCTGAGAAGATTTGATTTCAGAAGTCACTCTGAGTAAGTTCCAAGCCTTAGTCCTGTTTGTTTTGCTCTCTTGCTGCAAAAGCATTTTCCCATTAGAATACTTGAATTCTGTGTGTAGGCTGTGTAGTTCACACAATGTTCTCCATGGCTTTAACATGGTGCTTCCCTTCATGGTTATGATAAGACATTCCACCTTTCTCACAGAACATTAGAGTACACTGTTCTCTAGGAAGTACGGGAGTCATGGATTTGGTTTTTTGACCCCATTCTTGTCTATGCACTTCCTGTTGATGTCGGCCTGTCATGGAAACTCCTTCAGTAAGGTCTGACTGCTTGAACAGGGCTTACTCTGGAGAGTTGAAATCAAGCCTTGCATGTTAAAAGAGCTGGTTACTCAGCCAATGGTATTTTTTAAAGTTTTTGTTGTTGTTGTTGTTGTTGTTGTTATAAAATAAATGTGAAAAGTTTTTAAAATCGTGTTATTGTTATTCTGGAGATGTATATGCTTAAATGCTCAGTCTAACAGTTAACTTTTTCTTTTTGCCGAATTTACACAAAGAGGCCTTCATGCCGACCAGAGGTCTGATTGTCGTTGCCTTTCGTTTGCCCTTGAACAGGGTAAGTGTTTGGGGCCTGCAGAGTGAGAAACTACACTTAGGGGAACTTGGTGGCCCCAGCCTTCGGGACTGCAGCTCCCTCTCAGGAGTGAGCATGACTGTTTACCTGTTCATCCACTCACGGTCCAGTGGTCTAGACCAGAGATGCCCAAGATTCCTTCTCAGCTTCCAGTGGCTGTGGAATCCGCCCCATGCAGCTCAGAGGAAGGAGCTGGCAGGAAAGGCGGTCTGCAGTCTCCTCTCATGCTCAGTACTTCCAGCAATCTAACATATTTTTTCTTTTTTGTTGCTTTGCTTTATTTCAGGAAAACACTATTTTCTCTGACAGTTTTTAGCTGTTGATAAATGTCCTGTCATTCTGATCAGGAGAAGGTCATGACGACTGCTGGCCCAGTGCTCCAACTCTGTGGCTTAGACTTCTTTTATAAAATAATGGTTTTTCAGGATGGCAGTCCTATCAGAAGGTGTCAAAAAACATTCTCAAGTGCTGCCTATGACATTCTTAGAATTTTCTGGTATTGCACAGTTCCACACAAAGGTTCCTGCTGTGTGAATCAAGACTTCTCATGGTCTTCTCCACCCCAGTAGATGGGGGTGTCAGAGCCTGTATTGGTCATGCTGGCCTTCTCCAGTGAAGGGTTGTGGTATTTGAAGCTACCGGGACCATTCTGCATCCATGCACATGTACTTCAGACCTGATGTTCTCTGGTAGGATGGGCCCTTTCCTGTTGATTCTGGGTACTTGTTTCATCTACAGCTTCTTATTTCTTTGCCTTAGTTACCTCTTATGGAGTATGTATTATCCAGGCTTGATTTGAAACTGGTGCTTGTAATCCGGAAAGCCCGTAACCAAGTCTCCTCTCCGCTAGCATTGCCATCAGTGCACTCAGAATCCCTGCTGCTGGGGCGGGTCCAGCAGAGCTTGCTGCCCCCCGTGGGGGCCATACCCAGTGGAAACCGTTGTTCAAGCTTATTGACTTTTGTATTACTAATAACTATAGAGTTGGTAACAAAAGTATGTATTGTAGACTTCAATGTTTACATAACTCTTTCCCCCAAAGCTTTCTTTTCTTGGGTCATAGATGCAAATTTAAGAAAATAAGGTGTTGTGTGAATGGATTAAATGAAACATCATTATAATTCACAAGGTGGTAAATTTTAATCAAATTGGTAGTTTGTTTATAATTATTGTGAATTTGCTTGTACTTTAATGATTATTAATCTTTCCATTGGTTATCTTTTTTGAGTAAAAACAATAAACAGTGTATGCATAAAAGTGGAGAATGTTCTTCATTGTATCAGCAAGCCCTGAACATGTGTGGTGTCAGCCAGAGCTGCTTCCTGCTGTCCCCTGAAGCCCCACCCCCAACCCCGCAAGCTCAGCATCACCACTCTCACGGGTGTTTGCGTGAGTTTGTCTCCAGTCCCCTCTGGAAGAAAGACCCTTCCCAGTGTGTGTCATCCTCATCTGAGCCCTGAGAAGACTCCACTGGGTCCTGGATGTCTGTGTATGTATACACATGTATAATGCCATTCATTTATGCCAGTTTAGTAAAACTATCAAAATTATTTCTGAAGCTTCTGTAGGGTGAGCTTGTATTTTACAGTCTGAATGTTACTTAAAGCAGCAAGATCTCGAAATCAAAATATGCCAGACCCGGAGCTAGCAAGGCCTTAGGTCTCACGCCTTTCCAGTCATGTGTCCCTTCCACTGATAACAACAAGACAAGCATAGCCAGTGTTTACAGCCTCTGCCCCCGGCTGGCCTATGTAAATGCTCTGTAGAAACCGCCCCTCTCCCCTCTATGGCAGCCCATAGTGGCTGTTCTCACTGTGCAGGGTAGACTGCTGAGGGATGAGCTTAGGGATCCATCATGAAAATCACCCCAAGTCACTGCACCTCCTGATGATTTCTAGATTATACTAGTACACTAGAAACCATTTGGGCTTTTGGGGGTTGTCAGTAGGGAGCTAGAGCTAGTTTGATTCTTAGATTGAAGAACCATACTTCTCATAGCCAGACTTGATTTCAGAATTCTTGAGTCTACATACCTGCTTTCCCTACTGAGCTGTGGCTGATGTCTAGATTAGGGAAGCTGTGTCAGAGCTGTGTTTGAAGGCATTGGTGATGTTTGCTGACAGAGGTGAGTACAGGTCACACAGGGTCCTGTGATGGCAGATCTGAAGCTCATCTACATGCTTTGGTGGAATGGCTGGTCTCGTGCAGGGAAGTTCGCTTCTTCGGGAAACTTGGTGTCCCGACCTGTGGTTCTGTGGTCAGGGTCACAGGGCCTGTGGCACCCAGAAAAAGTGTCTGGTCGTACATGGAATGCTAATGTGTTTACACATATGTGGGTCTTAAAGATTAATAACCTACCAATTCTATTGCACAACTTGAATCCCTACATCTGCTTTAAGAATGCAGGGTGTTTTGCCTTTGGTAGCTGAAGTGGAAGTGAGTTTTCAGTACTTAGTGTGAGTCAGCCATGGCCTTAATTCACAGAGGTTGGGGGCAGGGAAGTTTTCAAGTGCTCAGCACTGCCACCTACTGAAAGTGAGAATCAGCACACAGACTTCCCCACCAGAATCAGTTGAGACCATCACCCAGGCCCCACTCCAGGTGCCTTTGTTAGAGCTTGAGTTTTCAAGCTGAGGTCCTGCCTTCCTGAGACGTGGCCCAGTGCTTGGTTCATGAGCATGGAGCCCCGGACCCATCCTCAGCACTACAGACACTGGATGTGATGACATCCATTTACATGTCTAACACTCAGGGCGTGGGGCAGGAGAATCAGGAGTTCAAGGTCACTGCTGGCTATATACTGAGTTCAGTGCCAGTCTAGGATACATGAGACCCTGTCTCCCCCCACCAAAAAAAAACAGTTGTGAGTTCGAGGCCAGCCTAGTCTACAAGAGCTAGTTCCAGGACAGCGAGAGCTGTTACACAGAGAAACCCTGTCTTAAAAAAAAAAACAAAAAAAGCAACTTACATATTCATATATTCATTTTTAAGGGTTGAGAAGATGTCATAACAAAGTAATCTCTTTTTGAATCTTTTATGACTTGAGACACTTTTGGATAAGTCTTGATGCCTTTTTCTTCTTACTCCATGCTGTGTGCTTCTGCTTTTCTTTTTTCCCAGAGGCAGGGTTTCTCTGTAGCTTTGGAGCCTGTCTTAGAACTCACGCTGAAGACCAGGCTGGCCTCGAACTCACAGAGATCTGCCTGCCTCTTCTTCTCGAGTGCTGGGATTAAAGGTGTGCACCACCATCTCCCGACTTCATTTATTGCTTTGCTAATACCTGGTCTATTGGCTTCAGTTTTTCTGAGTCGTGTGGTGCTTTGTGTTTTGCATTTGTAGTAAAACTCAGGGCCTCACACCTGCTAGGTAAGAACTCTACCAGTGAGCCACACCCCCAGGCCAAGTGAGAGACATGTTGCATTTTAGAAGTAAGTGGAGGGGGGGGCACTGCTGGAGTTGAAGGTGGAGAGGAAAGGCTGTATACAACCAGAATGCATTGTACTCATGTGGGAGAGTTTGTTGCTTTACTTAGACATTTTTGCAGTGCCCAAGATGGAACAGAGAGCTCACGTTAGGTAAGCTCTCTGCCACTGAGCTACATCTCCAGCCTAATTTGTAGATTTCCAGGAAATACTAAGGATAATGGGGAGAAAGACAGGTTATAGATTTTCAGGACGTATATTTAAGTAAACTTGACCACGTGTGATACTTGCGAAACAGAGGATTTATTTCTCGTAATAATGAAGAAATGGGGTAGTTAGCCTGATTTTTCTTCAGGCATCTTCCTTTTTTAGTTTTCTAAAGTGGTGGTTCTGATGAGATGAATTGATGCTCATATCTCTTCAAATGCAGTATTTCCAGAAGCACTCTGAGACAGTCCCATGTTGCTTATGTTGTTTCCTGGTTCTTGCCAGAAGACGACTCAGTACGGTGTTAGAATCTTGTCCAGAGAAGGCCTGAAACCCAAAGTCCAGAACAATAAGTAACCCGGTTCATGGGGGCTCCTTGGAGTGTGTGCTTGTGCTCGCTCTCTCTCTCTCTCTCTCTCTCGCTCTCTCTCTCTCCCTCTCTCGCTCTCTCCCTCTCTCGCTCTCTCTCGCTCTCTCGCTCTCTCTCGCTCTCTCTGTCGCTCGCGCTCTCTCTCTCTCTCTCTCTCTCTCTCTCTCTCGCTCTCGCTCTCTCGCTCTCTCGCTCTCGCTCTCTCGCTCTCTCTCCTTAACCTTGTGGCTGCTAGAGTTCCCCTATCCTCTCAGTTATAGAGATTTGCAGTGGTATGGATCTTGGTTTATTGATACAAATTTAAAGTCAATTTTGTTATATGTATATTTCTGCTCTTAATTAAGATATTGTGTTTGTGCAGCTCATTTAAAAATGTAGTGTATAATTAAGAAATACAGGTTAATAGGTAATCATCTATAATAGTCTATAACTGTCTTTGAAATTTCCTGCTTCATGGGAAAAGTTTGAAGACGGCTTCAGTAGGCTGAAGATGGGTGCCCCAACAGTACAGAAGAATTTTGGGTGACTGTCCAGGCAGTAAGATGTCTCTGTCAATTCTAGAGTTTTGGAAGTTGCTTATAATGCACTTCCTGTTTACTTAGGTAATACTATATCCTTCTGGGGTCTTTGATGGAGTTGAGGACAGATAGTTACAGTTTTCCTTAGTTATGATAAAAGATAAAGTAGATACAAATATTGTAACTGTAATTCTTGCTTGACACCTATTGTGTTAAATGTAATTTTACTATGTTAAAAGTTAAAACCTTCCTTTTTATTTAGACAAAAAAGGGAGATAATGTGAGAAGTCCTTCTGTATATGTGTTGCTTTTAATTGGTTAATGAATAAAGAAGCTGCTTTGGCCTATGATAGGGCAGAGTAGAGCTAGGCAGGAAAACTAAGCTGACTGCTGGAAGAAAGAAGACAGAGTCAGGGAGACGCCATGTAGCCACTGGAGCAGACAGACGCTGGTAAGCCATAGTCACATGGTGATACACAGATTAATAGAAATGGGTTAATTTAAGATGTAAGAGTTAGCCAATAGAGCTAATAGACCAAGCAATCATTTAATTAATACAGTCTCTGCATGATTATTTCCGGAAAGTCAGGCTGGGAAGCAAATGAGCAGCCTCTGCCAACACTCAGTGACCATTCTGTGTTGGCTTCTGTCACATAGATCTTTCCTGTTAAAACTGGCTTGTTTTAAAGGTTGAGGGATAGTTTTCTTTTTATTCTAGAATACAGTGGGCACACCCTACATGAATGGTTTTAGGCCTTAGGAATAATTCTTGTACTGGATTGTTTTATGTCAACTTGACACAGGCTACAGTCATCAGTTAAGAGGGAGCCTCAATTGAGAAGATGCCCCCATAAAATCTAGCTGTAGACAAGCCTGTGGGGCATTTTCTTAATTAGCGATTGCTGGGGGAGGACCCAGCCCATTGTGGATGGTGCCAGCCCTGAGCTGGTAGTCCTGGGTTCTATAAGAAAGCAGGCTAAGCAAGACATGAGTTCAAACCAGCAAGCAGCTCCTCTCCATGACCTTTGCATCAGCTCCTGCCTCCAGGCTCCTGCCCTGTTTGAGTTTCTGCCCTGACTTCCTTCAATGTTGAATATGTTTGTGAAAGTGTAAGCCAAATCAACTGGTTCCTCCCCAGGTTGCTTTGGTCATGGAGTTTGATCACAGCAATAGTAACACTAACTGGACTGGCTTCTGTTTAGAAGCATGTAAACATCTGAGTGAAGACTTTTCACTAATGGCTCACAGAAGCTGTGCTTGTCCCCTAGGGGCTTCAGGTGCTGCTCACTGTCTTTGGGATCTGATGTCAGGGTGGTTGCTGCCAGAACACTAGGGGGCTATTTCAATAGAGGTATCTCTGGTCCAGGTCCATGAATGCTGATGTCATGATTTCTCAGGAGGCATTTAGATAGTCATAAACACTGACTGTCAGGGCAAGGCCCCGGGAGAGACCCCTTGGAAAGCATACAGCGGTCCCCACTCGCTCCACACCATCCATGTGTGTCCTGTCACTCACACCACACCCCAGCCTTTGCGCCACTTTCCATTGCGGGGACAGACCACATCCTCACTCCGCTCCCTTCCCATGGTGCCTTGTGCCCCACGCTGACTGCTTATCAGTCCCTGCAGGTCAGTTGAGCTGAGCTTTGACTACTAGGTGCCACCCTAGTTATGCTGCTGCTGGGGCCACGTGGCCCGGCAGTGGATGGCAAATGCAGCAGGGGCCTTGCCTGCTACTCCTTTGCCTTACATGCCACTGTCATTCACCTGGAACAGGTGCTTGTAAGGTCCGTGTTACAGTCATATAGTCTATCAAATAGTTTAGAAAAATAGCATTTTGGAAGAACACTGACTGATCACTTTATGATGTGATTTCCACCAAGAATACTCTTAGGTCATGAATTAAGGGTTCTGTAAGATTGGTTATGAGAACTTCAGCCTTTCTCCCTCAAAAACCAGAGTTCCTTACCTTTCTCAAGCTTCCCCTTGGGGTGGGAGTATCATCACTGGGATCTGGAAAACAGTTTGACAGTTTTTCTCTTTTTAAAGCAAGGACGCACTGTGCAGACCAAGCTGGCCTCACAGAGACCCACCTGTGGCGTTTGCCACCACACCCAGCAATCATGCTTATTTTAAAACCTACTAAATCTAAGATTCCAAGGCTGGGGAGGTGACCCATAGTGCCCTAGTTGCACAGGCTTGAGGACCAGACTCCAGGTCCCCAGAACCCATGTAATAGCTGGGTGAGCATGGAGGCTGCCTTGATCCCTTAAACACTTGGAAGGTAAAGACAGGGTCCCTGGGACAGGCTGGCTAGCCAACACAGCTGGAGTAAGCGGTCAGAACTCCGGTCGAGACCTGCTTCAGTAAATGAAGAGAGCTAGGGAAAACACCCAACTCTGCCCCCCCCCCTTACTTGGGCCCACACAATACATGCACACCACACAGGCAAAGAAGAAAAACTACAACATTTCTAAATTATGTGTAGTTTCCAGCCCTGTCCATGCTGAGGCAATGTGAACTTGAACACAGACAAGGATTCTGACCTCAGCATTTTGTTTTTGTCATTAACCGTTCCTAGTTTGTCAGAAACACAGTTGGACTGCCCATCAGAGTGTCTCCTTAAAGACCTCCGTATTGTGCCCAGGCATGCTGAGCACTGGATCGGTGTGGAGAGAACGGTCGAATCTGTCATTGTTTCCATCAGGTGTTGTTTGTTGACTGGGGTCTCAGGCTGTCTGCAGACACATGGGCTCACAGTGTGAGTCACCACGTCTGGCCTTACTCATCGCTCTGACCTGCTAAACATTTTACTTGCATTTTTTTGCATTGATTTGTCAAAGTCACCCCAAGAAGTCAATTTTTTTTTTTTGCTGTTGTTGCTTTAGTTTGGGGTATATATCATATTATGTGGCCTAGACTTGTCTCAAACTCCCAATCCCGCCTCAGCCCCTAAGTGCTGAGATTACAGGTGTGTGTGCACCATCATGCCTGGTATAGACTGTCCTTACCATTCCTGTGTACTGATTCAGAAACTGAGATACAGAGAGATTAAATTGTTTGTAAAGTTGGTAGTAAGTGGGACACAAAGATTACCAGTTGGCCCCAGTGGCACTTAAACAGTCCATGTGCAAAGAGTTCTGCCCAGCCTGGGGAGCCTGGGCTTGCAAGCACTTGCTGAAGCTGGAGGGCTGGACAGAGGATAGTGGACAGATGATGGAGGATGACTAAGAAGGGTTTTAGGAAATTTCATACAGTTAGCTTTGCAGAGCTTTCCCTGATAGCTAAAATAGAAGGCAGTTTTCGTAGCTATGGAATCCACCCATACGCCCAAGAATGCCTTTACCTGCTTCTCTGAGGCCTCCACCTGCCTCTGTGCCCATTGTCTGTCGCAGCGTCTGCAGGAGGGCAACCCTCTCCAGCTCCTCCAGAGCCAGCCGAGCATCTTCTTCAAGCACTGTGGGGTAGAGACAGGCAAGTAGCCCACCCCGGCCTTCACATGACCATCTCTATTCCCCATCTTTGGTGAGTACCAGGACTGGGAGGTGGATGCTGGGACTCCAAGTGAGGAATTGGTGATCTGTCTTGGTGGCATTTAGCCGAAATAAAGGTGCTACCCAAGCCACAGGAGTCCAAAAGTGAGGAACATGTGGGCCACCCATCCCTGCCATCGTGGCCACCCTACCACCTGCCTTGAGCAGGAGGGGACCCCAAATGTCAGTTTGGCTCAGAAAGTCTGATTGGTCTCATCATCTCCATTTATCCCCTTACTTTTGAGGTACATGAGTGGGAGACAGAAAAGGAGGGTGGCGCCTCCCCTGCACCTCACAGCGGGGATTCACTTGAGGCTTCAGATGCTGCATTGTGACTTCTGTGTGAGGTGTGACTGACACCCAGCCTGTATAGGGTATGTATAAGTGAGGGAAACGTGGTACTACACAGACGTAAGGAATACATGGCAAGTATCTTTGGCGTATGTGCTATGTGCAAGCTGTGTGGGCAAGTGTGTGGTGTGAGGGCAAGTGCATGCAGCATGTGGCAAATGGGTGTGAGGAGTGAGAGCAGATATGAGGTGTGTGCTTTCTGTACAGGGTGTGTGGTAAATGCGCTGGTTGTGTGTGCTTTGTGTGTGCAGGATGTATGTGACCAGTAGAGGCTGGCAGTGGGACATGTCTTGGGCAGGTGCCAGCATGTTGAGCTGCTTGGGGAGTCTGACTGGAAAGTCACACACGACACTGGATGCTGCAGGCTGACTTCCTCTGCAACCTTGGTGGGAAGACAAGGAACAAAGCATTCTAACAGCAGCCGGTACACTCACGGAACTCCTTGAGAATGCCAATGGTCACCTTCAGACTTTGATAATATGCACGTGTCTGTGCTGCAGGGCATTTGCGGAGGGACGAACCCAAGGAAGCGTCCTGGCAAAAGTGCTAAATTTCCACCTGTTGGGACCCTGAGTAAGAGGCTGCCCTCATTCAGCTTTTTTATTGTAGACGTTTGAAGCGCTGTCAGCACCTGAACATCCTGATTTCTTTTTGCGGTGTGTGCTGGCCCTTTTAAAATAGCAGAATTGGTTCCTGCCTGGTTTTAAGCAGCAAGCTAAGTGCCAGTGTGGATCCAGTGACGCCAGCAGATGATTGGCAGACTGTGAGTGATGCTCAAAAACGATCAGAATGCTGGCGGGAGAGTGGCGCAGACTAGGGAGTGTGACAGCGCTGGCTTGGAAGAGCACCTACTTAAAGAAATGTCTGAACTCGCTGGCCCCATGGAGGACGGTATTACCACCAAGCCTTCCCACATACTAGAGAACCAGCTCCTTCAAATCCTCTGACTGCCTTGGTGTGTGCATGCACACATAATGAACATATAGGAAATTGTTTGGAGTAGCCAAACTAAGTATTAAATGCAGTTAAATATTTATGGAATATAATACACAACCTAATGCCAAATTAAGGGGTTGTGATAAAATTTCTAATTTAGTTTAACTTGGACTAAAGTAGAACATTAAGTCAAAAAGAAAACATAAACATGCTTGGCTGTCTATAAGGTCCCCAGCTTCAGCAGCCACTGTGTCTTTCATTGAGCCATTTTGCTTCATACAACACAGATAATGGCTCTCTAATTCTCATGACAGAATAAGGACCCTATTAGTCAGTCTGTAGCTGGAGAAACCACTCCGGCCCTCAACCAGTCCTCTCAAAATTGAAGGTAATGTTCTAAACTCGGTCCAATTTTTATAAACAAAAGCTGACCACTACGAAAGTTTGAGTTACATTTGTGACATAAAATAAGCAATGCTACCTGCCTGTGTTTAGAGAAGATGGTACCCATTGCTAGATCTCAGACACACAGTAAGAGCCCCCTGGTGCTCTCTTCAAAGCATTGCTACGCTTACAGAAGAGCCCTTTTAGCCGGAATCCCCTTCCTCCTCCTGAGTGCCACCTAGAACTGATAAACACAGTCACCTCACCTGGAAGCTGAGGAGCCTTCTCCCCAGTGTCAGGGACGGGAAGGGACAGGAGTGGGTTCAGGAGTCCCACGAAGAGCAGGCAGCAGAAGGCCAGCCTATCCATGACGATGGAGAGAAGTCCTGCCGGGCTTCTGCTCAGGAGAACTTCCGACTCTCCTCACTGAGGGATTGCCCGTTTTATCTATCATCCTGTGACCTCAGATGTCCCCTCCAAAAAAACAAAATGAATTTATTGGCTAGGGAGGCTAAAAGGCAATCACTTTGCATTGATGTAATTTTTCAGAGTAGCAATTCATAGACAATAAATTTACTGGCTTGTGGACTGGTGTACAAAGTGGGCATTCTGGAAGCCCTGCAAAGTTTATAAATCTGGCAACATAAGGAACTCAGCCATAAATCACAAGTGAAAGACAGGGGCAGACATGATGTGGCCAAGGCAGAAGGACGAAGATTTATGAGTTGTAGAAGAAGTGATGTGGGGGTATGACGGCGGCTTTCTTTATTTAAAAAAAAAAAAATCTTCCACTTGTGAATTGATGAGTTGTCATGTTGTGTTAAACAGGTCTGAAACAGCATAGCAGGCACGGCTCAGCTCGAAACTCAAGTCCAGCGTATGGACTTGGCTTCCGGTAAGATCCCGAGCACTCACACTCGCGTCTTCAGAGCGAGATTTCCTTAGAGTGGGACGACATGATCAAGAAGGAAGTACATCTCCTTGCTGCCTGGCCAGGAGCAAAGTGGTGCTGTTAGCAGCTAGTTCACATCACCTCTGGTGTGTGTGTGTGTGTGTGTGTGTGTGTGTGTGTGTGTGTAAGAGAGAGAGTGAAGTAGCAGACAACTGTGGTCCAGCATGCCACAGGCTGAGGCAAGATAATCCTGAATTTAAGGCCAGTCTGGTCTACATCTCTGAGTCTTCATTCAACCTACAGTTACCAAATTTACACCCCAAGCCCCGGTTGAGTCTGTCAGTTAGTAGATGGTTAGAGAGTAGCTACCGGGAAATGAGGGTAGAAGACGGTCAACCCAAGATGTGCCCGATGGGGTCGGTATGGACTGTTATGAAGCTGAAAGTAGTTGTCTTGGGAAAATTTGATTTTCTTTTCCTAAAGCGCTGTGCCGCAGGCTAGGGGTGCACCTCATCTGGAGTGTTTTCATGAGGCCTGGGTTCAGTCTTCAGCATAAACCAGGTAGGTGGTGCGGTAATGCCAACACTTGGGAGATGGAGGCAGGGGCATCAGAAGTCTAAGGTTTGTACGTCTTTTTAAAAGTCTATGCTGGGGGGCTGGAGAGATGGCTCAGAGGTTAAGAGCATTGCCTGCTCTTCCAGAGGTCCTGAGTTCAATTCCCAGCAACCACATGGTTGGCTCACAACCATCTGAAATGAAATCTGATGCCCTCTTCTGGCCTGCAGGCAGACACACAGACAGAATATTGTATACATAATAAATTAATAAATAAGTAAATATTAAAAAAAATCTATGCTGGGATCAGGCATGGTGGCCCACACTTTTCATCCCAACACTCAGGAGGCTGAGGCAGGCAGATCTCTGAGTTCGAGGCCAGCCTGGTCTACAGAGCAAGTTCCAGGACAGCCAGGGCTACACAGAAAAACCCTGTCTTTAAAAAATAAAAACTAAACTAAAAGTCTATGATGGATGTGTTTGTGTGTATGACATCTGTGCTCATGTTCATGTATGTTTGCGTGTATGACATCAGTGTTCATGTTCATGTATGTTTGTGTGTATGACATCAGTGTTCATGTTCATGTATGTTTGTGTGTATGCCATCCATGTTCATGTTCATGTAAATCATTCATTTTCTGCCATTGCCAACAGGTGGGGAACAGGCCAACCAATCTAGGGGTCTTTGGTGACCCTTGAGGACAGTTGTGTGAGGAAGCTGTGAAGTCACCCTTTTCCCTCCCCCAGAGGCTGGTGGCTTGCCAAGCTTTGTCACCCCTGGTGACTCAGGGTCCTCCTGACAGTTTTACTGCTTGGCCTAATTAAGTTACTATGGAAGGCCTAGGCCTCAGTGAAAATTAGCATCCTTCCTCAGTAGGTTGTCAATGACGGTGCCACCTTGTCCCAGAAGTGCTCTGAGTTCTCACCCCCCACACACAGTTGGTGTGTGCCGGTGTAGAAAGCCCGATTGTAGATGCTGTCCTCTGAGCTTCAGAGCCTTCCTCAGAGACCCTTATCCCTCAAGAGTCACACAGAAAGTGGGGGTGACGTGGGAAAGGTCTCCAGACCTCGTCGAGATCCCGACCACTCGACCACTCGCCCTGCCCACCCCCACCAACTGCCCCCCCACCAGCTGACCGACTCTGGCCGCTGTGCACAGTCTCAGGAGGCCCTTAGCACCTAGAGCGCAGAGGTTAACGGGAGGACTCCACCTATCATGGGGTGAGTCTCGTCACTGATGGGGCTCCTGATTGCCATCCCTCACTCATTCGCTGTAAGCCCAATATATTCATTGGTTTGCCAGGTTTAGCTTCTGTGGAACCGCAGCTTTGGTCTGCGGTTGGCGGGAGCAGATGTTTGTCGGAACTTCCTCAGGAAGAGTTGGAAGTGCAGGAGTTGTGGCTCACGTGCGGTGGCACAAACCTGCAGTCCCAGCGTTGGGGAGATGGTGGCAGGGGACTCTGCCTCCTGGACCTCAAAGCAAGACCTTGCCGCAAAACAAAGTCATAGGCTGCTGACACACAGAGACTTTCAATGCATAACACCTAGGTAAGTCATTGTAGGGCTGTATTTCAGGTAGCTGGTTACTGGTTATTCCCTCTGCCCCAAATGCTGTCCCCCAGACAGCTCTATAGCTAACTCATTCCCCTACTTTAATGGGCAAACTTTATTTAAAATTGCAATCTGTGTTTCTCATCCTCGTGCTGTATGTGCGTGTTGCATGTCTGTGTATTCACATGTGAAGGGAGTTGTGCAGATGTCCCAGAGTGAACATGGAGAGGTCAGGGGCAACGTTAGGTACCATCCTCAACAGCTCTTCACCACTCTTCTGAGGAACTCAGCAATCACCTGGACTAACTGGCCAGCAAGCTCCAGGGATCCTCCTGTCTCCGCCTCCATTACCTCCTAATGTGATCTGCCCAGCATTGGGGTTATAGGTGTGGCAACTGCACCCAACTCTTTATGGGAATATGAACTCAGGACCTCATACTTGTCTTGTAAGCACTTTACCCACAGAGCCATCTCTCCAGCCCCAATTCTACATTCTTAATGGGAAAACATGCTCAAATTTGCAAGTTGGGATCTCCTGTGTTCTCACCTCCCTCCAAACGATTTCAGTTTGTCATGGTCACGGTTCATGTCATGTTCTGTTGTGTTTTGCTTCCTGGGGCTATGATCCACACAGATGATAGCTATCCCAGGTGCCTGCCCACTCCTCACACGCAGCAAGCGCCTAAGCACCGTTAGTGCCTGCTCCTGTAGCTCGCTAGCACAGTGCTTGGCTTCTGTGTGTCCCTTTCAGTTGAAACCTGTAGCCTGGTTAGAATGGCCCCGTGGACTCATCGTATACTTGAGTGTTTAGTTCCCAGCTAGTGGAACTACTTAGGACGTGATGTGGGATGTCCTTTTGTATAGTGTTGCTTTTACTGATTGATTTGGCCAATGGCTTAGCAGAGTAAATCCAGGCAGGAAATCTGAACAGAGACAGAGAGAGAGTAGGCAGAGTCAGGGAGACTCCATGTAACTGCCATAGGAGTAACATGCCAGCACCAGTAAGCCACAGCCTAGTGGCAATATGTAATAGATTAATAGAAACAGGTTAATTTAAGATATAAGAGCTAGTTAGAAATACACCCGAGCTATTGGCCAAACATACACACCTCTACCAGCAACTTAAGAGACCATATGTGAGCCTTCAGCTGCTGCTCCAGCACCATGCCTGCCTGCACACCCCCACGTTCCCCGCCATGGTGATCATGGACTCGTCTTCTGACTCTAAACCCCAGCCACAGACTATTGAAAGCCTATTGCTAACCTGAGGAAATGACCTCACTGCCCACTTGGAGGCTAGCCCAGGCTAGCCACTGAGCCTCCCTCCCCTTATATCTTATCCCCAGCAGTTTAAGCTGGAGAAGTCACAGGGCATCTTGAGACAGACTGAGGACAATACTTTTGAGGGCAAAGCGCAAGTTCACTGCCTTCTCTTGACCCAAGCCAGCCCGCAGGCCAGCCTCAACTCCAGGACTGACACGCTCTTCTGTAGGGCTGCTCTATCAGAGCCCCACTGATAGGGCCGTGGAGACAGATGAGGCCAACGTATTGTAGGGTTGCTTTCTGATGTTGGCAGGTAGTGTCTGCTTCCTGGTGTATGCTTCGATTGTCTTCTCCGCTTGTCCCTATTCTGCTCTCTTACATGCATGTGTGTATGCACATGTGGAGACCAGTGGTCAACCTCTGGTGTCATTCCTTAGGAGCCATGTTGTTTTTTGAGACAGTTTCTCACTGGCCTGGGCTTCACCAATTTGGCTGATAAGATGACCCATGAGCCCTAGAGGTCTGCCTGTGTCTACCCCCCCGCCCCGCCCAGTGCTAGGATTAGAAACACATTGCCAGGCCGGATGGTGGTGGCGCACGCCTTTAATCCCAGCACTTGGGAGGCAGAGGCAGGTGGATCTCTGTGAGTTCGAGGCCATCCTGGTCTACAAGAGCTAGTTCTAGGAGAAGCCCCAAAGCTACAGAAAAACCCTGTCTCAGAAAACAAACAGAAAGCAAAAACAAAAAAACAACCAAACAACAAAACAGGTCAGCAGGGTGCCATCCACCATGATTGAAGTCTGTGGATCCACCCTGAGCTTTGGCAGGAGGATGACTATAAGTGCACATGTGTGTGTGTGTCTGTCTGTCTGTCTGTCTGTCTGTCTGTCTATTCTTGTTTTGTTGAGTATGTGTGTGCCCATTTGTCTGTGTGCCATGTGCCTTCCAGTACCTGTAGAGGCCAGAAGAAGCCATTCGTTCCCCAGGACTGGAGTCACAAATCGTTGTGAGCTGTCATATGGGTGCTGGGAACTGAACCCAGGTCCTCTCCAAAAGCAGCCAGTGTTCTTCAACCACTGGGCCAACTCTCTAGCCCCACGCATCTCTTTATAAAAAGATTTTTTAAATGAATCTTTTAGGTTAGTAAACAAAATATTGTGTTTCATCATGGTGGCTTCATACATATGCATCATTGTTGTTTTTCTCATTATTCCTCTCCCTAG